AGCCAACGGTATAGAAAACCGCAACATTTCAAATGTTACCATCAACTTACCTGGTCAACTGATGGAAAACCTGACATGTGTTGCTCAAAATAATGTCAGCAGAAAACAAAATATCACCCACCTTACAAGCTGCACAGGTAGTGTGAAATATATGTAACAGAAATGAACATGTTAAATGTATTGTAAAGCTAAATATATATTTGGATAATCAAAGACATTAATAACCTGTAACATTTTTTAGTAGCATAGATCTGTTTTTTAAAGTTATCTATGCTGACAAAGTCTCCCAAAGATAATTTTTTTTGCAAAATTCAGTTTTTTAAAAACTAGAATAACTTAGCAGGTACCACTAAAAACAGAGTTTCTGTAGACATAGATGATAGTTTGCAGAGCTGGCAGTGGATGTTAAATTGCAATTCGTACTGCATACATGTGTGACCACATGTTTGTCTTTCAGCTCCCGTGTCAAAACCAGCTGTATCTCAGATGTGTTTGTCACCAGAACAAAGGAAAGTCAGCTGCTCCTCTGAAGGAGATGACGTAGCGTTCATCTTCTTATTAGATGATAACTTGTTGATAAAAACCCAATCCAACATTTCAGAAAACCACAACATTTCAAATGTTACAATCAGCTTACATGATCAACTGCTGGGAAAGCTAATGTGTATTGTCCAAAACAATATAAGCAGACAACAAACCATCATCCACCTTATAAGATTTGCAGGTAATATAAAAAAAAATGTTCTACTTAGATATTTATTTATTTTATATTTTTAATTATTTTGTTTAGTTTATGTATTCACAGGCATTGTTCTAATTAAGTTATTTATATCAATCTTATAGGTCTATAGTAGCAAGTGGCTTGAGGCCATTATATCCCCATTATCTCAGTACATTCTTCTTAATGTTTCAATTTCTAGGTAATATTTCTGACCACTGTGTTGTGACTGTGGCTGTGGTAGGAAGCATTGCCATTCTACTCATTCTGGCTGTGTTTCTTGGTATCTGGAAATTCCAAAAGACTGGCATTATGACTGTTAATGAAGGTAATATTTTAAATTAACTATATTGCTGCTATCAATTTTGTCTCAGTGAGTACCACACAGGAATGTATGCCAAATTGTTATAAAACCTTTACAGTAAGCACCATTATTTGTATTGCTTCTGTACTGGACCACAAGGGATTTTAAGTAAAATAATCAATATGTGATTGAAATGCTGCCTTTCACATTTAATTTAATGAGTTTTACAACAACAACATTTTTATTAAACGATTAGTAATTACAGTCACTTTCTCCTCACCTGTAAAAGACTGATGGGTTATTGTTGTCATCCTGACAAGCGGTGGGCAGGTGGGTTTATCAATGTGATAACTCGAGAATAAAGCAATGTAGGAGTTTCAAATTGATATCTTTCGTGTATCTACAAAAAAAATCACAACTTTTGAGAACAAAGTGACGTGGGATTTTGAAAGTTAGAACATAGGTCTATCTACCTTGACGCTGAGGGTACCACTGGCCAGTGGAGGTTTTTTTTTTTTTTCCAGTCTCTCGCTTTCAGAGGATCAAAATTTACTAGAAAACTAAAATGATTTAAAGTGTAAGGATCAGTTTTATACTTCAGTCTTGCAGTAAGACTGCCTTCAACCCATAAACATTACCATGGTATTTTCTTTCCTTGTGATGCCATTTGCCCACAACATTGCTTTCACCTAATCATACAGTGTGGTATGCTTGAGCTCATGAGCGATTTCACTCCTTTTCCATACTTTCCTTCTCCCTTCTGATACAAGTTAATTTTGGTTTCATATGTCCAGAAAATTTCTTTCAGAAATGTGCCAGCTCTTTTTAGATCAAATCTCGCCTTACTCTGCTTGAGTGTAACCAGTGGTTTTCAGCTTGTTATGAACTTGTTATGTTATTTATTTCCACTCAGGAAGGTTGATTCCTGAATGGTCTTGATTGTAGACCTTGACCGTGATACAATCATCTCTTTATGTCCTTGACTTCTTTAGATATTGTCGAGCTCATGAGGTGTTGTGTAGGTAGTGTTAGGGATCATATGTGGATAGATGGTAGTGGCAAAAAGGATGAAAATAACTGGAGTAAATATATACACTATAT